CTCTTGGGAACTGGGAGAGGTTTCTTCCTTGCTGTCTACTCTGTCTCTTGGGCTGGAATTGTTGAGTATAAGGGGGCCTGAAGCCCTGCTGGACGGGCAGAGGGGCCTGCTATCTGCAGTCCTGTGTATGATAGGGCCTTGATTGGGGATACCTCTGGGTATGCCTTGGGAAGTACCTTTGCTTAAAAGGTGTCAATGAAGTATGGTTATGCCCAAGGATCTGGCTGTCACCTTGTTCTTTCTAATCCAAACTGCATCAGTTTGGTCACTGAACAGGTCTTGACCTTCAAATGGGAGATCCTCTATTCTGGCTCTGGTATCAAGAGGAAGGGTGAAGAGGGTAACCATGATTATTTCCGTATGACAATGCCGGAAGCCATTGGACCTGCAATTACAACCTGCTCCATGCCTTGCAGCATTGAGCTGCTGTTTCCCTAACTTTTGTCCCTTTGCAATGAGGACCTTAGCCACACTCTGCTTATCAACAGGCAGCAAGCTCAAGAAACTGTGACATCTGGATGGTTTCCAGCTCTTCCCTTGGCTGGTAAGACCTCTGAGACTATGGAGTTTGCTTGAAGGTGGTGAAACAAGTAGCCACAGCCTTCTTCCCTGATTCTATTGAGGTTTTCCAGCTTCTTTGACGATGCTGGTGCCAAGGCCAGTTTAGCCTAGATGGCTAAAGCTATGTCCTGCACCCCTTGCAACAGTGGGAATGCCACAGGGCCTGAGTAGGGGCTGTATAAAACCTTTGGTATAGTGGTTAAGTGCACGGATTCTAATCTGGGAGAACCGGGTTTGATTCCCCACTCCTCCACTTGCACCTGGCTGGATGACCTTGGGCAAGCCATAATTCTGGCACAGCTGTTCTTGAAAAAGACCAGTTTCTGTCAAGAGTTCTCTCAGCTCCACCTACCTCACAGGGTGTCTGTTGTGGGGAGGGGAAGGGAAAGGAGTTTGTAAGCTGCTCTGAGACTCCTTTGGGTAGTGAAGGGTGGGGTATAAATCCAATCTCTTCTTCTTCATTACAGGGTTGGACAGTTGCAGCTCTGAAGCATTAAACTCTAGACTGGCTTTTGAAGCATTAAACTATAGACTATTGGAGAGGGAGCCGATGGGTCAGCAGCCATATCGTCAGGAGGTGTCACTGAAGTGCCCTCTGAGCCTGCTTCTGAAATTTGGTAGAGTGCGTCATTGGAACCAGAACCCTGATGGGGGGAACTGACATCAGAGTGGTGTTGGTCCCGTCTAGATCTCGTGGGAAATTTTACAGGTTGCCATGGGTAGGGAGCCTGTGGGGTGCCCACTGTGGTGGCATCATGAATGGAAATGGGCCCCATGGGTTTCACTGAGACTGCCACTGATTCGATGCCTGTAGATCTGATTGCCCTTTGTCTTGTGATGTGGGTGGGCCTGTGGGAGACACTTTGAAGAAGATTCTTTTGAGGAGTCTGGGAACCTTGATACCCTTCTCGATGGTGAGGGCATCTGAGGATGCAAAAATGAGTTGACACTGAGTCCCAAAGGAGAATTTTGGCACTGGGGGGACTTTGATTTGAAGATGGTTGATGTTGATGCTTGACTCTGAGGAGAGACTGATTGTTGGGGTTGGAGAGGATTGATGACCTCGAGTGAACAAAGTACAATTCCATGGAGATGGAGATCGCAGATTCTGAGGGGAGCTTGAACCGTTCTGATGCAACGGCAATCAGGTTGGACTGTGATGTGAGTGTTTGGCTCTCTTTTTAGCCTTTTTTGGAGGTGGTTCTGACGCCAATCTCAGGAGGAGACTTGAGTTGCAGTTCCAATAACAAGGGTGTCAGTGCCGAAGTCACCAAATGGGCCCTTGCACCCTTATCCATTTGGGCCTGTTTTTCCTCCGCAGGGATCCGGGGTGCCCAGAGCTCCCCCCAAAGTGTGACTTTAAGTCTTGCCACTCTCCCCTTGTGTGCTTTAGGAATAAGGCATCTACTAACTGGGCACATGACTGTATTGTGGCCCTCTCCCAGACACAGGAGACATGAGGAATTATCATCATTTTGGGCCATTTTTGCTCTGCACTCCCTGCACTTTTTAAATAGAGCCATCCTACTGATTTCTAGGTGTAACTCTTTACTGTTCTCCATGGAAAAACCTGTTTTATTCCTGAGGCTCCATGAAGAAGCAGCTTAGAAGCACGTCCTCTTCTCACGGCGGCAAGAAGAGAACTGAGGGAAGGAGTGCTCGCACCAACTCTGACACATGACCCTTTGGGTGGGAAAAGGGATCTCTATAGACAGAGGGGATGGAGAGCACTCCAGAGCCTAGAAAATCCTTCAGAAACGCTTGGAAGCTCTTCTCTGCAGCTGGCCTGCAATCATGAAGCCACGATGATGATCTTAAGCATGTCTTAAACGACACCATATTCCAATCAAGTAAAACTAGCTATTCTCCTTAACCCCTACCTATATGAAAAGCAGCCAAGGACTTCATTGCTTTTCAAAAAAACAAAGCCACAAATGACTCCATATTTGCTGGTGGGGGGTGGGGTGGGACTGTCCCTGATGCTAAAAATCTGGACACCTTCTCGAGCCAATTTAAATATCCAGGCAGATTGCACTATGTGAAACACATGTTTGGGATTATTCATCTGAAAGCAGTCCTACATCAAAATCTCTTGGCATGGGGAAGGCCAGAGAAAGTACACTATCATGTTTTCAAATCACAGCCTACTGAGTCAGTTTAACTTATCTCCTAAAATACATGACCAGGCCCTCTCTATACCTCTCCCTGGCTCGTACCCCCTTCCCTTACCACCTTATAGTAGAACTATGCTGTCATTGCTACATACCCCATAATTGTACTATGGAGCACAAATATCGACTCTCATGTAGAGTTCATAATCGCATAGGTATTCTGGGGATTTCCATTTTTTTTTTAAAGTAAGCTACTAGGTGGCCGGATTGTGCAACTTAAAAATATGTTAGCAGATTTTGCTAACACAGAATGTAGACTCCCAGAAAGACACTTTGTGGAGCTGAGAGATCTACATGGAGGACAGCCATGCAGGTCAGAGAGATGCTGCGAAGAGGGGGGTGAAACCACCTCCACGTCTATTTTCCATCAGGAGAGCAGCACTTGCAGCAGACATCGGAGGAGCAATTTTACTCCCTTCCCTCTCCTCCCTAAAGTGCCCCAACCTGTGCAGCTATTCCTCTTAGGCCCCACAACCACAGCAGTGATCTTTCTGGGGGCTGGAAGAGGATGCAGGAACAGAGAATAAAATGGGGAAAGTCAGTATACCATGAATGCCTATCTGGATACAGGCCAATATTGCATAGGATTAAAACTGAATGTAAAATTCCACCACCTGCAACGTCCACTTTATAAAAACTGTGCAAATAAAGAAGAGCAGCTTGCCCAGTTTGAATAACTTATTACAACTGCACTATACAAATCTGGTAGTTGGCAAATGTGGCATTTTAGTGATTTTAAGATGCAGGGAAATAAGACTAAGACTAACACCAATCTAATTACAGAGGGAAAGAACAGATCATTCAATCAGTTTTGATCATATTAGCCTCCAATGTATAAGAATTTTCTGAATGGAAAATATTCCTCTAACAAGGCTTCTCCGTCCATTATGTATATTATGCTCTTTGCCAGATTAAACAAACAAAACCACGAGCAACTGCAGGTGGCACTGGTGGCAGTTAGTGATGCTGTCAATCAGAAGTTTGCTGCTGCTCTTGTTGAAGTTGGAAGTGCTGACAAGCCTCTTGCCCGATGCTAAGAAAGAGGCCTTCCATAGGAACCCAATCTGTTGGTAAACTCAGTGCCAAGCAATGTGCTATGATCTTTGTAGAGAAGAACATCCTCTTCAGGCCTTGGTGCTCTCCACACTCATCAGGACTTGTGGGCTTGGCACTTTCCATATGAGAGCCAGTTTGGTGTGGTGGTCAAGTGCGCGGACTCTAATCTGGGAGAACCGGGTTTGATTCCCCACTCCTCCACTTGCACCTGCTGGATGACCTTGGGCAAGCCATAGTTCTGTCAGAGCTGTTCCTGAAAAGAGCAGTTTCTGTCAGAGCTCTCTCAGCCCCACCTACCTCACAGGGTGCTTGCTGTGGGCAGGGAAAGGGAAAGGAGTTTGTAAGCTGCTCTGAGACTCCGAGTGAAGGGCAGGGTATAAATCCAATCTCCTCCTCTTCTTCATATTCTGCCTGTGGTCTCTCTAGATCAGTGGTGGCAAACCTATGGCACAGGTGCCAGAGTTGGCATTCAGAGCCCTCTCTGTGGGCACGTGTGCCATTGCCCCAGCCAGGCCCAGACCATCATTAAAGTGTTGAATTCTCTGCCAAATAATTTTAAGTAAATGAAAGCATTTAGGATTGCTTTCCTTACTTTGTTTGGATCATCTTAAGTTAATGTATGGGTTGTTTTTTCTAAAGTAAAACCTCAGTATTCAGGTTAAATTGCCATGTTGGCACTTTGCGATAAATAAGTGGGTTTTGGGTTGCAGTTTGGGCACTCGGTCTCTAAAAGGTTCGCCATCACTGCTCTAGATCCTATGAAAGAGCCATCTTCCATTTTCCTCCACTCTTTCTCTCATCCCACATCCAGCTTATGAGTTCGGATTCTGTCCCTAACTCTTCTTCTGCTGTAACCTCCAGAGTTGCTTCAACTACGTACACTCAGAATTCACATACATAACCATAAAATACAAGCTAAAACCTATTAGTCCTTAGGAGGAAAAGTCTGGCCAGAGCTGGAGAACAAACTCAACCTTGGCCTTTTCTGGTTAGTTCATTTGTTAAGGGCACTTTTTTCCTTTTTTCACACTTTCAGTATGTGCATTTAACCAAGTCTGCATGTTCATACACAAAATTAACACTACATCCACAGAAAATCCTTGACCTTGCATATATAAAATACAGCCCATTATTTTTCTTCACATTTACACAACACTCTTACTGCACACCTTTGGCACAGAACTGAGAGATGCAAATAATAAAGGCTTTTACCTGCCAGAAGTCTGTGACTGTAGAAGGCAAGGGGCCTTGAGCAGCGATGTAAGCAGGGTTCCGGGGGTCATGGTCCATCTGAAAAAAGGAGTGAAAAACCCCACAATTACAGCTAGCCTTCAAAGACAGCCAGGCAAGGAAGTTTGCTACAGGGCCGGGGAAAGAACATCTTCACACTGCATTAGTGATGTGTAGCAACTAGCAAGGCATTGCCCTCGTCTCCTGAAATATTTTAGGGAAAGGAAATACTTGTGTACGAATTCCTTTCCCCAACAAAACCAAGCTAGTAGTCTAATACTAAGACAACAGACAAGCCATGATCTATGTTCCGAATATGTAATGTGAGATCATTTAAGGAGCATTTGCTAACAAAAAGCATTTAGTCAGAGATTCTGGTCTCATAGCAACCTACAAGCCACTTCAAACATTTCCCCCCCTCAATACAGGGCATTAGGAATGCTGGGCACATTTAAGTATCTCTTCCATTTCCACCACAGCACTCGAGGGCACATGCATCTAAAAACAAGCCAAAGCCAGAGAACAAACTCAATCCTGGCCTTTTCTAGTTAGTTCATTTGCTTAAAATGCAGGCTTCTAACCCTCAATAGGGGAAGTTCTGTTTAAAGACCTTAATTATTACATCTATTTCAAAGAGTGACTGAGCAGAAAAAAAGGGATCCTCAGAAACAAAGCCATGAAGAGTAAATAGGATTAGGTGGTTACAATGAGTGTTTTCAAACTGATGGGTGGGTTCTCTGGTCCTAAATCTTTGGCCCCATTCTCCTGATAAGGACAAGATCTGCTGATGAGAATTTAAAAACAAGAGCAACCAACAAAACCCTCCATTGACTGCAACCCTTATAGCTTAGACAGAATTTAAAAAGAAAAACAAAGAGAATGAGGCCAATCTCCTGCATGAACACATCTGAATTATTTCTACAAGTGCTCCTGAACAGCTGAATTCTGCCCCCAACCCACACAGAGACCTACACCTTCGGCTTTACCAAAAAGCTAAGCGATAGTAGATGACTGCATAATTAACAACACCTTAATGCAGACTGGTCAGAACCATGAAATAAACCATTAGAAGGGCCAAATCTCTTGGTTTGGTTTGGTTTTTTAAAACCCGAATGCAACGACAGGGACTACTGATTAGCTGGCACAAGTGGTAGACCCCTTGAGACAAGCATCAACCCAGGAAGGAAGGCTGATAGAAGTTCTGATTGACAAATTAAATGGGATGGGGAGAATGGAACCTCCAGTGCTATCGGCTTTCTCAGTTGAGGGGTGGAGTCAGGGAATCAAAACATATCTCCTATAAAGTCCACCTTAATCCTAACTCAAAGTTGTGGGACTACTGTCAGAAACTCTCTTTGTTGTTATTATTCATATATCCTCCATCAGTGTGCTATACACAATGACATGTCCCTGCGACAGAAACTTTCAATCTAAAAGTCTACCATTTCTTTATTCATAAGAGCCCCAATACAATCCTTCACCCTGGAGCCCATTTCAGAACTTTGGCGATTATGGTCTTAAAACTTCTTGGTACTCATTACACTGTCCAAGATCTAGAGAGTCATTTTATGCCTTCGGCATGCCCAGTGGGATTCTTTTTTTTACTGCTTTGATCATCAAACCTCCACCCTGCATCACTAACTTCTTTTGAAAATCTCCTGTTTCAAAAGCAGCTTGCTATGCAATGTACATGTGTGTGCAGTGTGTGTGTGTGTGTGTGTGTTGTGGGGGGGGGGAGCCCCAAAGCCTTTGAATCTTGGCCACTGATTATTTCAGTTGATTCACAGAACTAGAAAAACAAAACAAAACCTAACATCTGAAGTACTATTAAACAGAAGAGTACAATTGTGTGCTGTGGGCTTCCTACAAACAATCATTTAATCACCTGTAACTCCAGTTTTATCGTATGCGTATTAGGATAATCCAATTCCTTATCTGCCCCTAACATCCTCCTAAGCCCCCCCCCTTTTGTGGTCAAATTACAGCTGATTTACAGCAACCCATCAGGGTTTTCAAGGCAACAGATGTTCAGAGGTGGGTTGCCACTGCCTGCCTCTCTGTAGTGACCCTGGTATTCCTTGGTGGTCTCCTATCCAAATACTGACCAGGGCTGATGCTGCTTAGCTCCTGAGATTGGGCCAGCCAGGCCAAGAGAACTGTTCTTGAGAAAACAGCTCTGAGAGAACTGGGACTGACCCAAGGTCACCCAGCTGGCTGCATGTGGAGGAGTGGGGAATCTGCTGCTCTTAACCACTGCACCAAAAACAAAACAAAAAACCAACAACCATTATCTCCAGTTTAGATACAACAATTCATCATATTGAAAACTGTTCTTGTGATTCACCACTTTAGGTTGCAAGTGATGGATTGGAGGTAAATAAATAAACCTAGGAAATCAGCTTGGTAGGATGATGGTCTATTGCAACATTTATTGTTTCATCTTACTTTCACTGCACTGTCTTCTAACTTTGTAAGCAACTCACTGCATTGGTTATGGTACGTTACACCTTAGACAGTTTTCTCCATGCACTGTTTCCTAATTTCTGGAACCCTAGTTCTAATGTATTGTTAATTGGATATCTTATGCTATTACATTAAAAATAATTTGTGATCCGCTGTGAGTTTCAGTGAGGAAGGTCAACTATAAATGAAGCAAATAAACAGGCTAGGGTACACAAGCTGATTTGCGCAAAGCCACTGCTCTCATTGCAAAGTGTTGGGACTATACAGCTTTTTGTGTCTTCCTGTCATGGGGCCGCGAAGAGTCAGACTCAACTGTGCAACTGAACAACAAACCAATCTACACATATCTGCTCTTTACAAATAGCCTAGATAAATGCTGATACGTTAAACGTATTAACCAAAATAAAAGAGCCAAACTTTGCGGGGGGGGGGGGGGGTCCTCAGGTCGAACTGTGTGTGTACAATAGAAGAGAAGAAGCAAAACAAAATCAGCGATGAGGTAAGTGGTACTGTCAGTGAAGAAATACTTCTAAACACTCCACAATTTGATAAATCAGGAAGAGGCTACTCTTGGCCGTACAGTATAAATCAACTGCTGTCAGAAAGCTGCTGCTTGGAGCACTGCAGACATCATAATGAGGAAAGACTGGTCAAATGTGTCATCAAGTTAACAATAACTCAGACGTTCACAATTATTACATTCCCTGCACATTCTGTTGCACAGAAAGCTGCTATGGAGAGGGCGTACGCCAGTTAGGACTGCTACCGTGCAAAGTAGTAACCGGGTCACTTTCTGTTTGTATGTATTACACCATTTCAACGAATGCAAATTTTAAAATTGCCTGTTGTCTACTGCTGACACCGAGCAAAACAAACAGGGGAAAGGTTATCAGACTTGCTTAGAAACGGGCAGCGCCTGGTGTGCATATGTTCTCAGAGGAAATCCAAGATAACAGAAAGCTTCCTTTTGTGATAATAAGTGAGCTTGCAGGCTCCTGCCAAGATTAAAGTAATTGAAAAAAAAGACTAATGGGCACCTTTATTAATTTCCACACTGTAAAATTCCAGAGTCGAAATATACTTGGGAAGATATGGAGATGTAAACTTTAACAATTGGTATAATCCAGTTCAAAGGAAAGGATCTAGACTGATGGGCACCCCAATCTTATTAAGTTCTTTTTGATCCATCAGTACAAGCAATAACTTGCACAATGGCAACTACAATGGTACCAGACACTTGGCAGATCTGTTCAGTTTTGCCACATTTAGTACCAAGTGTTCTTTTATGGCAAACATACATTTGCAATTCGATATAGGCTTCAGTGAGAACCTCTCGGCCCTCTTCAGTGTCCCTAGGATGCTGCATCCTGAGCGGTGCCCGTTTTCTTTTACATCCGTTCTGGACAGCACCACACTAAGAGCCATCTAGATTTGCCATTAGGGTATCAGTGACTTTCCTACCCAAGCCTCATCCAGCAAACTAGCTCTCTAATATGATTCTTTCTACAGGCTACCAGGGCAGACAGGTGGGCACCAACTATGGGGGTGTGTATATAAGAGCCACATTTATTTGGCATTCCCAAATATTTCAGAATACCAGTATCAGCACTGTATTTGGATTCGGGAAATACTTGGTGGTAATACCGAATATATTCGGCTCCATTATACCCTGTGGGGCCATTATACTCAGTGGCAAATCTCTCAGGGTATATTCAAT